CGTGGTCCTTTGGTCAAAAGTGGGGTGCTGACTGGGGCCCCTGATGGATTTGCGTTGGTGCTGACTGTCGGAATCCGAGTTCCGTCCTCAGCCTAGTGCCGATCACCGCCTTTTCCAGGTAACTGAGGCCCAGAAGAGGGAAAAGTGACTGTTGACTTGCCTAAGGCCTCACACTCGGCCTGAGGCCCAGGACCAGAGCATTTTCCTTTAATACTTTCCACTCTGGCCTCTTTTGCCCCTCATTCTTTATAAACGAAGTCCGATTCTGGTGTCACTATGGCCTTCAGTGTTTTTGGAGTTGAGAGGCAGGGAATGGGGCTGGGGTTGACAGTAACTTCCCCGGGGCTTCCCAACTTGGAAAGCTTTTGTGACAAGTGTTTATTGTTTCCTCTTCCCATAGACCTGACTGAAACCCCCTAGGATCTTGGTGTCTGGACATAGGAGGTATGAATCACTTACATAATTAACTTCTTACAATCGTCGGTGTTTTAAGAGCTATATTTAGTGGTTGTATTAATGCAAAATGAGTGGATATTATGGAGTCGTAAAACCTCGAAATCTATATACAGTTCTCAACTAAAAGAGTAAAACATACTTGAGTACATAATGACTATATTATAGATCTATGTTTCTTAGATTTTCTTTGTTCTAAGAAACTTTAATGATGAACATTGCCTGCAGGAGTTTGACTGAAATGAAGCTGTTCTGATGGGCTGCTTTTGAAGGGAACATGTAATTTAAAAGTGGTCTACCTTTGGTTATTAAGAACTTAAGCCTTGTCACCAAGGCACATACATTAACTTTTGTTTTACTGGAATATTTGTGGCATTCTTTTCTCTAGAGGATTGCTGCTTTGCTCAGTAGGCTTCACTTGCCAAAATAGATGTGTGTGGGCATCACATCTTGGTTTAACAACCCTTTTTAAAGGCACATCAATTCCTGGAAGTTGTTTAAAAGTATAGACTTATTAATGATTGCTGTCGAAAATAACTTTTGCTGCTACTTTTTTCTTTTCATTATTAGATTAGGCTGCAATTGAAATAGTTTAGTGAAAAAATTTATTTTAAATTATCTTTAGTTGTTTGGCAGGGTTTCACCATATCAATTATGAGTACATTATGTTGGTCAATGTCACCTCTTCTGTCATTCCTTCCTCTCATCTTTCTCAGTCCCACACTGAAAAATTGTAATATTGGCGGGACAGCCATATTTTTGTTTTTGGGATTGGGCAGGAAAAGTGATCAGTTAAACAGTTGTAAACAGATATAATCAACCGAAACTGAAGTAGCAGTTTATTTTGAAAAAATTGAAGCTTACATCTGTTTGGTTGTAGGAGGACCAATTTCTTTGCCCAGGCCCACCAGGTAAACTTTATTTTAGGAGCCTTGTAGTATATAAATTTTAATTTACAACTGACTTGAAATAATATAAATTTCTGTGGGCACTGGTGGCTCATGCCTGTAATACTAGCTACTCAGGAGGCTGAGATCTGAGGATCCCATTTCAAAACCATCCCATGCAGGAAAGGCCATGAGACTCTTACCTCCAATTAAACACCATAAAATTAGAAGTAGAGTTGTGGTATAAAAGTGCCCAAGCCCTGAGTTTAAACTCCACAACTGATAAAAGAAAAAACACAAAAGGAAATAATATAAAATAATATAAATTTCTACATAAGTAGGGAACTAACTTCCTAATATTGTGTGTGTATGTATGTATTTGGTGCCGATCCTAGGGCTTTCACTCAGGGCCTACTCAGTGTCCCTGAGTTTTTGTGCTCAGGCTAGTGCTCTACCACATAAGACACTTTATTTATGGTTTTTGGGAGATAAAGAATCTCAAGATTTTTTTGGTCCCTGCCTGGATCAGATTTCAGCCTGCTGAAATTTCCATATGGTCTCTTTTGGGTTATGCTGAGGTTTCAAGTCAGGGCTTGGAACTTGGTAGATGAGCCTTCTACCACATGAGCTATGCTCTCAGCCCTTTTAAAAAATTGCGTTAGTTTTTATTTATTTTATTTTTATTTTTTTGCCAGTCCTGGGGCTTGAACTCAGGGCCTGGGCACTGTCCCTGAGCTTCATTTGCTCAAGGCTAGCACTCTACCACTTGAACCACAGCACCATTTCCAGCTTTTTCTGTGTATGTGGTACTGAGGAATGAACCCAGGGCTTCATGCTTGCTAGGCAAGCACGGTATCATTAAGCCACATTCCTAGCCCTGCTTTAGCTGTTTTGTGTTTTTTTTTTTTTTTAGATAGTGTCTTGTGTTTTCGCCTTGAGTTAGCTTTAGACCACAATCCTACCTATTGCATCCTGCTTAGCTGGGATTACTGATGTCACTACAACTGGGTTATTGGTTATGAGGTCTTACTGGCTTTTTGCCTGGACTGGCCTCTAACTGTACCTCAATTTCTCCACTTCCCAAGTGGCTGGGATTACAGGTATGCCCCATCATACCTGGCCTCTGATGAGACCCATTGTATTTGTTTTTAAAATTTCAAAAACAGCCAGGCTTTGGTGGCTCATGTCTGTATGTAATCCTGGCTACTCAGGAGGCTGAGATCTGAGGGTCACAGGTTAAAGCCAGCTTGGGTGGAAAAGTTCCTGCGAGACTCTTTAAGTAACCACTCAAAAACTGGAAGTGGTACTGTGGCTCAAAGTGGTAGAGTGCTGGCCTTGAGCAAAAGCGCTCAGGAACAATGTGCCTGGCTCCTGAGTTCAAGCCCCATAACTGACAAAAAAAAAAAAAAAAAGATTTCAAGAAGCAAATTTGAATTTTGAATCTTTTTTGTGCATGTACTGCTCTTGGGGCTTGAAGTTTAGGGCCTGGGTGGTGTCCCTGAGCTTGTCTGTACTCAAGGCTAGTGCTCTACCCCTTGAATCACAGCTCCACTTCCAGCTTTTTCTGAGTAGTTTTTTTTTTTTTTTTTTATGGTCAGCTGTGGGGCCTGAACTCTGGGCCTGGGCACTGTCCCTCAGCTCTTCTGCTCAAGGCTAGCGCTCTACCACTTGAGCCACAGCACCACTTCTGGCTTTTTCTGCTTATGTGGTGCTGAGGAATCGAACCCAGGGCCTCATGCATGCAAGGCAAGCACTCTACCACTGAGCCACCTTCCCAGCCCTTCTGAGTAGTTTTTGAAGCTAGCTCTTGGCTGGCTTCAAACCTAGATCCCCAGATCTCACCCTCCTGAGTTGCTAGGCTTATAGGCGTGAGCCACGTGTGCCAGGCCCTGTGCTCTTTGTCCACAAGGCTAGTGTTCCTCCACTGAGCCATAGCTCTGCTTCTGGCTTTTTAGTGGTTAATTGGCGGTAAGAGTCTCATGGACTTTCCTGCCCAGGATGGGTTTGACCTGTGGTACTCAGATCTCAGCCTCCTGTTCATTTCAAGTCCTAGGACCAGTACACACACACATACACACACACACACTCTCTCTCTCTCTCTCTCTCTCTCACACACACACTCAGAAAAGATATTGATGGGGCTGGGAAGGTGGCTCAGTGATAGAGTGCTTGTCTCGCATACATGAGGCCCTGGGTTCAATTCCTCAGCACCACATAAGCAGAAAAAGCCAGAAGTGGTGCTGTGGCTCAAATGGTAGAGTGCTAGCCTTGAGCTGAAGAGCTAAGGGACAGCACCCAGGCCCCAGAGTTCAAGCCCCATGATCAGTACCCCCTCCCCCCCCCCCCCAAGATATTGAAGCCCGGTGCTGGTGGCTCACGTATGTAATTCTAGCTACTCAGGAGGCTGAAATGTCAGACTCATGGTTCAAAGCCAGCTCAGGCAGGAAAGTTTGTGATACTTTCATCTCCAATTAACCATCAGAGACCGGAAGTGGTACTGTGGCTCAAAGTGCTAGAGCACTAGTCTTGAGCTGAAGAGCTTAAGGACAGTGCTCAGGTTGACTTCAAGCCTGACCAAAAAAAAAAAAAAAGATATTGAGGGCTTACTGAAAATGTACAGAAACGCATGAGCCCCCATTGCCTATTACAATGTTTTCATCTCTCTTAGTCACAACTGTGTGTAATAAGCTTGTGAGTTAAGAAGGTTTATTGTACTTGTTTGTTTTTTTTAAATCAGTCCTGGGGCTTGAACTCAGCCTGGGAGCTATCCTTGAGCTTCTTTTGCTCAAGACTAGCATTCTACCACTTGAGCCACAGCTTCACTTCTGGCTTTTTCTGTTTATGTGGTTGGTACTGAGAAATGGAACCCAGGGCTTCATGCATGCAAAGCAAGCTCTCTACCACTTAGGCCACATTCCCAGCCCTGTACTTGTTTTAGTTTATTAGATATTAAAGCTAAAGTACTTGACCTGGATTTTTAGTTAGCTGTTAGCAGTTATATTAGGTAATATCAATTTTCTATCTTTCATGTTTCTGGTACTGATTCTAATGAATATATTGACAGTAAAAGCAGACTGTAGTAGAAAGAGCATGGACTTGGGAATTAGACCTGAACTTGATTTCTTATTTTATTGGTTTTTATTTTTATTATTATTATTTTTGGCCGGTCATGCAGCCTGAACTCTGGGCCTGGGCATTGTCCCTCAGCTCTTCAGCTCAAGGCTAGTGCTCTACCAATCAAGCCATAGCACCACTTCTGGCTTTTTCTGCTTATGTGGTGCTGAGTAATCAAACCCAGGGCCTCATGCATGCAAGGCAAGCTCTCTACCACTGAGCCACCTTCCCAGCCCTGATTTCTTATTTTCTTAACTAGCTTTGACTCATGTTACTAATTATTTGAGTGAGTTTACTGTATAGTAGGCTATCTTAAGCTCCATTTTCTAGATAAGGAAATGAAGACTAGCAATGGTAAGCTACTAGTTAAATGCAAATAACTTCATAAACCTTTAAATAGAAACTTCTATGTTGTACATAGTAATATAGAGCTTGGGTTTTTTTATTTTTTTTTAAAGTTAATTTATCTTTTTGGTTGGTTGTTGGGCTTGAACTTTGGGCCTGGGCGCTGTCCCTACACACTTCAGCTCAAAGCTAGTGCTCTACCACTTGAGCCACAGTGCTAATTCCAGTTTTCTGGTGGTTAATTGGAGATAAGCATATCATGGACTTTCCTTGCCCTGGCTGGCTTTGAACCATGATCCTCAGATCTCAGCCTCCTGAGTAGCTAGGATTACAGGTGTGAGCCACAGGTGCCTGGCTTTGGATTCTTTTTTTTTAAGATTAAAAAAATTTTTAATGTTTTTTTCCTTTTCTTTTATTAATTTCAGTCATTTTTTTGTTTATGTGGTACCAAGGAATTGAACCCAGGGTTTCATGCATGTTAGGCAAGCACTGTAGCACTAAGTCATATTCCCTGCCCTTAAGATTTTTTTTTTTGGGTTGGTCATGGGCCTGAACTTTGGGTCTGGGCGCTGACCCTCAGCTCTTCAGTTCAAGGCTAGCAGTCTACCACTTGAGCCACAGTGCCACTTCCGGCTTTTTCTGCTT